CTGGTGATTTTACTTCTAGGTATACATCCAAGAGAACTCAAAATATGTCCACACAACAACTTATCATAAATGTTCACAGTGGTATTATTCCTAATAACCAAAAAGCAGGAACAACCCAGATATCCATCAACTGATCAATGGATAAATAAAATGTGCTAGATCCACACAACAGAATATTACTGAGCCACTAAAAGGAATGAAGTAATGATCTATGCTACAACATGGATGAACCTGGAAAACATTATGTTAAGTGAAAGAAGCCAGACACAAAAGGCCACATACTGTAGATTTCATTGATCTAAAATGTCCAGAAAAGGCAAATTCATAGAGACAGAAAGTATCTTGGTGGTTGTCCGAGGAACTGAAAGAGATGGCTAACAGGTTCAGGATCTCTTTGGGGGGGTTGAAAATATTCTGGAATTAGTGGTTATAATTGCAAAACACCGTGGATATAATGAAAACCACTGAACGGTATACACTGTATAATGATGTATTCTATGTTATGCGAATTATATCTCCATTAAAAGTAAGGGGAAATGATAAAGGATGACCATGATGGGGTATGTTGAGAATTATGATCGATATAATTCCATGCACCCGAACCCCCTCGCCCTCGAACCCTCAAATAAAGATCAAGGCAAAGAACGCCAAGTACCTAAACAAAGACCAGAGACTCAGGATATGGCCAGACAGGATCACGCTCAAGAGGAACGAAGCGGATGCTGAGAAATGGAGCAGAGATAGAATGAAAAGCCTTCCAGTCTTTGGTGATGAGAACACAGAGAAGAGGTAAAGCCCTTCACTGACACAGGAGATAAAGAACGAGAAGCAGGTGTCCAAGGCCGAGAGGAGAATGCTACTAAGCTAGTCATTGGACAGACTGAGCTTATGGTTCAGAGGGACCCTGGGCCATTGAGGACACAGAAGACACAGGTTTGGGGCTCAAGGGAGAGGTTGAGTTACCTTGCGCCAGAAGGATGGATTTGGAGATAATTCAGAACATGCACACGGGAGAAAGTGCCCACTGTGTCCTGATGGTGAGAAGCATGAGTGATCCCATTGGAAGCAAGGAGTCAAGGTGGAGAAGACAGTGGTGCTGGGGCCTCAGGAGGAGAAAAGTGCCAGGAAGGAAGCCACCAACAATGTCAGATGTGGCCAGATCGGAGCAGGGAAATGCCCATTGGCTCGGGTGAGCAGTGATCGCTGGTAAAGTTTGCCTGAGTGATTTCAGTTTAATGTACATGAGCACAAAGCATTGTATCTTACTTGGGCTTAACTTAGGCCAAAGTCAACACTGAAGCTGAATGAAAGAAATCATTTTAAAAAAAAAAAAAACTAACAAGGGAAAGATGCTGACTTGCCTATGCACACAGATCCAGAGTCTTCTGGATTTTATTCACATTTATTCACATATTCCCTGAGCCCAAGGTTTTTTTTTTTCTCTTCCTTTCTTTCTTTTCTTTCTCTTTTTTCTCTCTCTTTCTTTTTCTTTTCCTGAAAAAGCCTCATTTTTCTTTAATGTGTGTGATAACACAGAGGTGAGGAATTATAGTTATCACCTGAGCCAGTCTAGACCAGCCTGAGAATAGACCACTCTACCCTCATGAAAATGATGTTTGCAGAACTTATTTATTTATTTAGGTTCATTCATTTATTTTAGAGAGTAACAGGAGGGGGAGGGGCAGATGGAGAGAATTTTTCAAGCAGACTCCCCTTTAAGCACAGAGCCAGACACAGGGCTTGATTCCATAACCCATGAGATCATGACCTGAGCCGAAACCAAGAGCCAGATGCTCAACTGACTGAGCCACCTGGGTGCCCCAGATCGTTCTTAATAAAAAGATGAATGTTATGTTTCACAGTTCAGGGGGGAAAACAAGAAGAACATTAACTTGTTTTTACTACAGGATTTTAACTACGTAACCTATGCATTAAAAAAGAAGGGGAGAACGTGGGGGAATGAGCATTTGCCTTCAGTTCGTCTGTGCAGTATTTGTATTTTCCAATTACAAGTCCTTTTTGATATAGTCAATTTTCTTACAAAAAGCATGCATTACTTTTGAGATCAGAAAATATGGTTAAGGCTGGAAAAAAATGGTTTAATCACACTCAAACAGAAGGTAAGCAGGGATCACAATATTAAAGTTAGATGAACAAAATTCAAGGCAAGAAAAAAATACGCTTTTAAGATAAAGGGAGCATTACATAATGGTGACAACCACCACAAATAATGAAGCCATGCAGATACAAATCTATAGTTGTCAAAGAAACTGACAACAAAATACAGAAATCAAACGTTATTAGGAACGCAGGAAGGAATAGTCATTGTCAGAGGAGATTTTAAAACACCATTATCAAAAAGACTTAAGAAAATAAACTCAGAGTCTATCTAAATACACAAAATTGATGTCTGGCAGGGATTCAGTTCCATGATTACAGTGTGTGGGGGTCTTTTCAAGTGTATATAGAACGTTTACCAAACTCGAGAATACTAGTCACAAAGAAAATCTCAACAGAGAAAAAAATCTTAAGTTCCTTTTCCAGTTAAAGACTAGGCACTTCTGGCCTGGAGAAAATACAGAGGCTAAATCCAAGGGAGGAAAAGAGGAAAACCGTGTTAATATAGTCCACTGGGTATTTTGGCGGGGTGGGGGGCGGAGGGCAGGGACAGAGGTTGAATGGGAATTAACTTTATGGTCAGACTGGACCAAATACCTGCCCTGCCCTTTTTCTTACCCCCTAAACAGCTTCATTTCCACCTGAAATGTGAACCACGGAAATAGCACTTAATCAGTGGTACTCAGTGGGCGGTCTCCACACCAGTAGCATCAGCACCCCCTGGGAATTTATGAGAAACGCAAATTCTCAGCCCTACTCCAGACCTCCTGAAACAGAATTTCCTCCGGGGGACGGGATGGGGGGGCGGCGCTCCAGGAGGTGCTGATGGGAAAGCTGAAGGTACGTAAACACCTCAGTTCCCTCGCGCCTGGAGCAGGCTGACCCAGAGGAGAGGGCTTTACACTCCCTCCATTCCCAGAATGCCCCCCGTGGGGTGAAGCTCTGTCAGCCCCAGGGGCAGTCTGCACACCACGCCCTTTGGGGGATGCCTTCCCTTCCCTACTTTCCCTATGCTCCTAGAGGTGTTCTCTCCCCCTCGCAGATCAACTAGCACACTCAAATCTTTTGTCTCAGGGGCTGCTTCTGGGGGAGCTCAAACTAAGACACCCACCAGAGACCACCACAGCTTGAGTTCTGGTTGAGACTGGCTTGGACTTCCATTTCTTCCTCCCTCGCTGAGCTCTGCCAAGATTTCCTCAGGGGAGGGAGCCCCATGGGCAGTGAGTCCTCACCCCAGTTCGGTCCAGAAGAGATCCCCCGCTCTCTTCTCTGGGTTTGCTAGCTCTTCTCTGCCCAGCCTCCAGCCATGCTGTTAGCCCCCACTGCCCCTTGCCAGCCCTGTTCTTCTTCATCACTCACTCCCAGGCCGGGTGAGGCTCACCGAGGTCCGGCTACCAGCCAGGCCCTGGGAAACCAAGTCCTGCCTAGCGCTGAAAGGCCACTTGTGCCAGACTCAGAGGTATCACCTGCTACGTGCTTCAGAAGCTGAGGGAGCACAGAGCAAGGGCCTTAGGATAGCAGTGAAGGATTCTGTGAGAAGGTGACACAGGGGACACCTTGGAAACAAGTGTGTGGACTCCAGCCAGCAAACGGAGGGCACGGGATCAGGGATTCCCTTTGCCGAAGCAAGAGCTCCATGGTGGGCACACAGGGAGGCTGCAGGGAGGGGCTCTGGGAGCCACATTTGGGAGACAGACTTGACCAGACAACCTCAAGGCTTCGGGGAACGGAACGTGCCGTTCTCACCAGGAGTTCTGATAGTTACTCACCAGGAGACTATCAATGTCAGTTTGAGAAGGATCAACAGATAATGAAATGGCCAAAGGTAAAAAGAGAAAAATAAGGTTGTGACAAATACATCAAATGACACATCCACCCTCAGAATCTGGAGGCCCCAGTGCAGGGGGCACACCCTGACTGGCGTATTACCGGGCCCAGGTGCCCCAGAGCCCTCAGCGTAAGGGCCGGCCAGTTCAGAAGGGCCAGGTGGACTTCAGTACCTGGGCCATTGACATGTGACAGGCTCAGCGCAGAGCTCCCGAAGGCAATCAGGGTTCACTCAGGACCTGTGGCATGGTCCTCCTGCTTCTTCACCCTCTCCTGACCTGGGAGCACACATGGGTAAATCCTTCTCTACTCAGCATGCTGAGAGCAAGGGGCTTAGCCTGTCCCTAATCCTTCCGTGGCTCAGAAGATAAGCCTCCTTGGCCTAGAGCACGCACACTGGCTGGCCTTCTTTTATGTCATCTCCTTGTGGGGCTTTCTCCCTGCAGTGAGCACAGTGAATTTTGGAGGCGAAGAGCCAACACCAATGCACAATTAGCAAGACCAATCCCCCCAGCACCCCCACCTGGACACCAGCCCTCTCCCCGACTTGTCTCCAAGGACCTCAGAGGACTTTTGTTATTGCTGCCCAACACTTGCTTGTTTGAGATTTTTTCATTGAGCCATCATTCCTAACAGAGCTGAACCCTGGAAGGCCTGTGGACACTGCTCCTTTCCACCTATGGTCATTTTGGGAACAGCATCCCAGAGGGAACTTCAGATATGGTTCCCATCATGGGACGATGGCAATGGGGTTGGGGACGGGGAGCATGGAGGAATTCAGTGTTTCGGTGTCATCGACTTGAGGTCATACGGAGAGGGGAACTGAATCTAGATATGTGGCCAGTCATTCATTCTTAAGGGCCCTCTAGGACTTGCGGTCTAATGAACCAGTGTTCACCCCAATGTCTTCCTCAAAACACCTCGCACCCCGCAGGATGCCCCAGGGACAGGAGACAAAGACAGGTGGGCTCACATCACAACTCGAGCGGCGTTTCCCCCCGCTGACATTGTGCATGCGCCACGTTCCTCTCCAGAACAGCTGGGCCACCCCTTACCTTCATCACTGTTGTCGTCCACCAGGATGATCTCCTTGAGCAGGTGTGTTGGCGTGTGGTTGACAGCGCTGTGGACTGACCGCAGGATCACCGACAGGGCCTCGTTCACAAAGATAAATATGATGGAGATCTGGGGCAGCTCCTTGGCGTACTTCAGCTCCTTGCACCTGGGGGGAGAGAGAGGAAGGAAGAAGGCACGGACACTGGGGACGGATGCATGGACACATCCTCCCAAGGTGTGAATCACTGGTTCCCTCTTGGCCCCTCTTGGCTAAACCCTAAGAAGGACAGTGTTAAGGGACCCAGCCCTGATTCTCCCAAATTTACCTGGTCCCACTTCAGTGCCCACCTGCCCGATTTCCCACTCCAGGGACCCGCATCTCATTGCCTGGAACCTGCTTTGCTGACACCTAAGCAATGCCCCTGCCCCCATCTGCCAGGAGTTGGTGCATCAATACCCCAGCTCGCTCACCCCTGGAGCAGGTGACTCTGAGGGGGTGGTTTACACAGGCCCCCAAAGTCCCCCAGTGGGATTAGGCTCCGTCACCCACATCCTTTGGGGGATACCTTCCCTTCTAAGTCCTACTTCTCCACGCCCCTAGCAGTGTTCTCTCCACTTTCCCAATCAACCGACGCGCTCAAATCTTTGTCTCAGGGTCTGCTTCTGGGGAACCCAAATGGAGACATCTACTGGAGACCCTGCTCCGGTGGAGCCTGCATTCTAGGCCATAAAATGCACATGTAAATAATCATAATCAAGGAAGCGGGTCTTCCGCCTGCATAGGAGCATGCTGCCTGAGACACCCCGTGTCTTCTTGCACCCCAACTCTTCCTAGAATCTCCTTGGGGGGGTGGGCAGGAGACGGGACTGCCTGCCTCCGAGGTCCTCCCTCGTAGCAACTCTCCCAGCCCTGAGAAATGGAGGGAAAGAGAAGAGTTCTTTTCACGGAGGCTGGACACCGCAGTGGAGAGCTCCCGGTCATGTAAGAGCACGTGCTCTGCATGGCTCAGTCACAGGAGCACCGCACTCCAGCCCGAGAGGACTAACGAATTTGCGTCCATGCTATGGCTGAGCCTCGTTGGAAATACCAAGAGCAAACCAAGGAGAATGGAAGAGCGAGCTAGGCCATTTCCATACATTCTCCCCCTCCTTGAGTGAGACTGAACAATACATAGCACGCCCGTTAGAGGAGAAAACAAAGGAAACCAGATGAAGGAAGGGAGTGAGAGGGGGACAGTGCTGAAGAAGGAGCCAGAAGAGTGGCTTGTTTTTTTATGCGGAACAGCTTGGGCTGTGTCGGGCCATATTAATCATGCAGGCAATTTTCAGAAGAAAATAAAGTTTTGTTACAATATACATTTGTGTCTCCTGGAGGAGGCTGCCCAGGGACCCATTGATCATGGAGGCTCATTTTTACCACGTCGCTGTAAATTCACTTCTGGGGGCTGCCAGGGAGATTAGGATGGTTATTGACAGGCTCCTGGGCAGTCGGCAGGAATTTTCTCATTTACCGCGTGGTGATCCAAGGGAGGAGGGCGCCCCGGAAGGTCCCTCGGAGCCCCCTCAACCATCCGGAGCCTGGCAGGGGGTCAGATGCTACCACTGACCGGCCCATCCACGTTGAGCACACGCGCCGCACCTATTCCGGGCACTCATTCCTAGGCCTGGTGTTTTTGGCCCTTTGTTTTGAACAGCTTCTGGCTTGGAAAGAAGAAGCAAGAAGACCAGATTGCATGGCACCAGCACCACCTTCTCCACCCACAGGCAGTTGGGCCATGATGCAATTGAAGCTCATGTGTGAGTCACATCTCTCCACCGGAGCAGGCAACCCCTCCCCCGGGTGAAGTGGGAAATGTGGGAGGCTCGGAGGAATGACGGGAGACCCCCCTCCTGCCCCTTCATGGGTAAAGGTGACCATGCAGTAAATCAGAGAGGGGCGGATTTCACAAATGAGAAGGGCTCTGTCACACACTGGACGTGTCACCCTGAGCACACCGTTCCTATTTCGTCATCTCTACACCTGTCAAAATAATCCACACCACACCTAGCTGTGGGTGCTGGGCTAAGATCCCCATCATAAGGATCATTTGAGAGCCCCATAAAAATGCAACATAACGACTCATGGGAAGACCAAAGTCAGCCTGGCCGCCCCGCACTCCCATTGTCCCCTTCTATAAACTCCCCATCATCATGAGCCAGGCTTCCAGAATTTTCACTCACCCCAGACCCTTCCTGCAGGACCCACCCAGGATTCTCCTCCCGGCCTGGCCTACCTGGATCTCTGCCCTTGCCCAGCTTATGATTCACCTCTCCTGTGCCCAAAGTCCTCAGGGTTTCACACTGGGCAGACAAGATGAACACAATCATTATTATGAAAATCAGCATTCTTTCCTCGGTCTTTAATGTCTAAGGAGGTAGATACCACCTCAAGCAAAAAAAAAAAAAAAATCCCTGAGCCTGACTTATTGCCTGCTATGGAGAAGAAGTGCAGAATATTCTGGAGAGATGGACACTGTAGTTTTGATGCACTAAGGGGTAGGTGCTGACTGATACACACGTTGCTCCCAAACAGACACTCCATGCCCAATGGCGGAAGATGAGCTCGGGAAGGAAGATTAAGGGTGGACGGTGCAAAGAGAGAGGCTCACAGGTCATAGAAATACAGAGATAGTGCACAGAGAAAGGGGACAGATACGGCTCCTGCCCTCTAGGAGCTGATACTGAATTCTCACTGTGGCCTGTCCAGTAGCCTGGGTGGTGGTGAGGATAAAGAATAGAGTGGATTTGCAAGATACTCGGGAATAAGCAAAAGATGGCATGCCACAGAAACTGCAAACATACTTCACAACCCATAGCGGGCGTCGTGTTCTCCCCCTAGCAACACAGGCTCGGATCTGGGTCCCAGAAATCACGGATTTCCTTTTAGTAACAGGTCAGCGGGCAATAAACAATCTCTTGTCTGAAAGAAGATGGCAGGCAGGAAAACTATCTTAAAGTCTGGATAATTTTCTTTCTTTTTTTTTTTAAAGATTTTATTTATTTATTTATTTATTTGAGAGAGAGAATGAGAGAGAGAGAGAGAGCATGAGAGGGGGGAGGATCAGAGGGAGAAGCAGACTCCCCGCTGAGCAGGGAGCCCGATGTGGGACTCGATCCCGGGACTCCAGGATCATGACCTGAGCCGAAGGCAGTCGCTTAACCAACTGAGCCACCCAGGCGCCCTAGTCTGGATAATTTTCAATCAACACATGAAGGGATGACAAAGAACGTAAGCCCAGTCTTCTCCTCAGAGGGCTAGCAGGGCAACAGTCTCTGCCAAGCTGATCTCATAGGGAAAAGAAAGCAGAGACAAGTGACCAACCAAAGAAGATCCCTCAGACACCTTACATCTGTCCTGACGTCTTCCTGTCCATCTGCCCATATGCCTGGGCTACTTCCTTGAACTTGTAGCTCCCTGACGGCGACAACTGTTTCCCCCCCTCCCAGAGCACTGACTTCATCCATCACCAAAAGTGCCCGCTATCTCCCTTCGTGGATGCTGAGTAAGGAGAGGAGAGCTGGGGAGAACCGGCCACCTCAGGACCCACTAGAGAGGATCACAGCTGACGTGAAAGAAGGTCAAGGGCCAGGCCTCCAGCAGGAAGAAAACAAAGCCCAAAGAGCTGGCCATGCCCTGTCATAGGCAGACCCCTGCCCATGACCCCTTTTGACAGAGACAACTTACATGACCTCAATGTGGTACAGATCAGAGGTACCAAGTCACACTTGTGACCCAGTCTGCCAAGCTGGAAACAAAAAGATGGCCCCCAAACATCCCCACTGCTATCAAAGAATTTAGCTGCAATGTGGTCCAGGAAACTTATAGATGATGATGATGATGGTGGTGGTGACGACTAGGAGGACAACCAACATTTACACAGTGCAGGCTATGTGCCAGAAACCTCTGGAAGCTTCTATGGACTGTTCTGTCTCATTTAATCCTCACAGCAACCTGCCTAAGAGGTAGGCAGTATTATCATCCCCATTTCACCGATGAGGAAACTGAGGGCCGAGACAGGTGAAGTCACTTGCTCTGAGTCACACAACAAGCCTGAAAAGCAGCAAAAGTGCCTGGGAGTGAGCTGTATCATCTGATGTTTAGGCTCTTCCAGATGCCCCTGTCTGATCAAGGCAGGGGGTGGGAGCCCTAATGTGAGGGCCCCCCTTCCAGGGCCAACCCAATCTCTCCCAGTCCCTCAGCTCACCAGGATGGTTCTGGGTGAAACGATGCCCCTCGGTCTCGGCCCAGTGTCGCCCCACCCTAGTGAGGGGCCAGATTACCCAGCACTGCCCAGGCTCTGATCCTGCTGCTGGTAACCAAGAGTCCTGGGTTTTGCAGCAAAAACACATTCAACACTTAGAACAAGGCAGCTTGTAATGCAACGCAGTCAATGCTAAGTGCCAAATGGCTGTCCCTATACCAGATGTGATAGGTAGACTGAGATGGATCAGGAGGACAGGGAAGAGAAGCCATGAACTTGAAAGCTGGATCAATGGATCAAACTTGCACAGGCAAGAACAGAGGGAGGGGCAGTCAGTGAGCGCACTTCTGAGCACACAGAGGCACTAGGGTCCCCTTCTTTTTCTCTTCGCGGGCCTTCCAGAAGAAACCTATCTAAGCTTGTTCAGAGATGGAGCAGTGAAGAGCCAAGTCCTGGAACCACAGACTCATGTCAGGCTCTGCAAACTCCTACCAGGCCAATTCATTTTCCTTTTCAAAGCACACCAAAAACACGCATGAGGTCATAAAGGTCCATGAATAAGGGTTCTTTACAGCACGCACCAGCAGCATGGAGTGAAACGAGGGAGGAAGTGTGCAGAGTCAAAGAGAGTAGGTAGTTTGAGTCAGAAAACACCACCTTGACCCCAAGAGCAGCCACGCCCCAACGAGAAAACTCTTGAGGATGTGGCAGGTGTGGGGGCAGATACATCTTCACATCCACTCCTTCCACGGCTGTGGGCAGAGGTGGGAGGGGAGGGCGCATTCTGGGACTGCCTGCCCACCACTGTCACATCCGCACGACATCAGATCCACTCCAAAGTGGAGGGTCCAGGTCCGTGAGTGTCTCCCTTCCAAATTCGGAATGTGCTTTATGTAAGAGAGCCAACCTGGAATGCGCCCCCGCC